CTGGCATTAGGAAACTTGCAGGTGGTCTCTGCCTCCTGTCCCCTGTCTCTCTCAACAAAGGCTCCTCTGCTTGCAGGAAATCCTGTGTGGGAGGGGTGGGAGGAGGGGCCTGTAGCCCCTGCTTTGGGCTCTTTGGGGCTATGGCTCCCATTTCTTGAGGCAAATGAGTTTGCTAGATTCATTTCTTCTCTTTCTCCCTTTTTACCATGACTTAACCTCCACTCCCTCAATCTTAGCCCCACAATCTCCCTGGTCTGTTTCCTGTCCACTGTCTTTTCAAATGCCCCCAGAGCTTCTCCCTTTTCCTCTGCCCTTTGACCTCCCCTACATGGACAAGCAAGGAGACCAGGCAAGTTGAGAAACAGATAGGATGAAATAACTGAAAGCACAGCATTGAAGCTACAAAATAATAATAAAAAGAACCAGTTAGAAAAAGAACAACAGGTGCTGACATTTGCAGAGCTTCTTGGGTGCCAGTTGCTGCCCCAGGCAAGTACAGGTACATGTGTTGTACTTCTTCACCATGAGCCCATGCCAGCCCAAGAGGTTGCCCTCTGCTGAGGTCACACAGCGATATGATGGCAGCACCAAAATGTAAATCCCGTCTTAGGAGCTGAGTGAGGCCAAGAGGAAGTGCCCAAAAGACACTCCCACCTAGACCAGAATGTCTTTGACCTCAGAATTCCTTTAAAAGGAAGGTTCTGTTGTTACCCATGCATTTAAAAATACCTGCATTGGGCTGAGTATGGTGGCTCACGCCTGAAATCCCAGCACTTTAGGAGGCCCAGGTAGGCGGATCACCTGAAATCAGGAGTTCAAGACCAGCCTGGTCAACATGGCGAAACCCCATCTCTACTAAAAATACAAAAATGAGCCGGGCATGGTGGTGGGCACCTGTAATCCCAGCCACTCAGGAGGCTGAGGCAGGGAGAACTGCTTGTACCCAGAAGGTGGAGGTTGTAGTGAGCCGAGATTTTGCCACTGCACTGCAGCTTGGGTGACAGAGTCAGACTCCATCTCAACAATAAATAAATAAATAAATATTTTATTATAAAAATAATAAAATAGAAAAACGAAAATACCCGAGCTATCCCAGACTCACGGAATTCCCAGTCAGATTGTGACTAATCAATCCACTCAGCTAGGATTTTGAAAGAGAATTCAATGGAGAAAGCAAACGAGCTATAGAAAATATTTAATGAAACACAAAAGCTTCTCTGGCAGGTTCTACAAAGTCAGGAAACTCAGGGTTGCCCCTTCCACCTGCAGTGGAGGCGGCTTGTGGTGCCGAGTTGGCTTGGAAAGGGAGCATTGAGGGGCTGGATTAGGAAGTGGTAGCTGCCTCTCATGTTACTCTGATTTTTTCAAGGCCTTCCAGACACCCCATCATCTGGTCCTCTTTACCTTCTTGATGGTGATGTTTTTAATAAAGAGATCTACTCTAAAGACATTTTAGAACCACAGTATGAAGAAAGAGCTTTTTGGCAAACCACCAGTTACCCAGATTTTGGATTTCATTTTTTCTCTCCTTTCCCTGAAGGGTAAGGGGAGCAAGAGGAAAATCCTAGAATCTCATTTCACATGAAGTGGGTATGGGAAGGACTGTGTGAAATCCTAGAATCTCGTTTCACATGAAGTGGGTATGGGAAGGACTGTGTGAAATCCTAGAATCTCGTTTCACATGAAGTGGGTATGGGAAGGACTGTGTGACTTGGAAAATCAGTATTATGCAGGGATGTCTTAAAGAATATAGTTACTGGCCTGGCGTGGTTGCTCACACACGTAGTCCCAGCATTTTGGGAGGCCAAGGTTTGTGGATCATCTGAGGTCAGGAGTTCAAGATTAGACTGACCAACATGGTGAAACCCTGTCTCTACCAAAAATACAAAATTAGCCAGGTGTAGTGGTGTATTCCTGTAATCCCAGCTACTGAGGCAGAAGAATCGCGGAGGTTGCAGTGAACCGAGATGGTGCCATTGCACTCCAGCCTGGGCAATAGGAGTGAAACTCCGTCTCAAAGAACAAATATGGTTATTATTAAGTATAGTACATCTGTCAGACTAAGAAGTTCAATAAATGAAAAATTAGAATTCCAAAAGGGAATTCATCACACCGTTGTGTTATGAACATAGACATTCTTTACAATGCAAGACCTAGAAGTTAAAGACATTTTCATTTTATGCTCCTTTGGATTAAAAAGTTACTAATTTCATACCAAATGCGCCTTGGAAATTTAAAGAGAAAAACATTATTCAGGTTTTTTTTTGACCTAATGAGGGTGAATATAGGCAGTTTTAATGAGTAGATTCCAGAAGGGTAGCTTTATACCACTCCTCAAGCCTGACTCTGGCAAGCAGCATGCATTAGCTCATGTCTTACTCCAGGAATTCATGAGAGACCCCCACTAAGAGGGCATATGTTCCAAAATAGTTTTCATCAGTGGTGACAGCTGTGTGCCAAGACAGAGAGGGCCACCCTGAAAAGGGTGCATCTGGTGGCACCTGCTGCTGAACTGCCCTCTGAGACCCAGCTCTAGCTGTGGCCAGGGTCTGGGCAGAGCTACATCTCCTATGAGGGAATTGAAGTCAGAGCTCAGGCCTGGGCAGGGCATGTAACTCCCCATGTTCATAACTCCTTGCCGAAGCACACGCCTGGCCCCCTTCCCTGCTGTCCCCCTGATGCACCATCTGGCAACCTCCTACCCACCTTTCCAGGGCCAACTCAAGTGTCGCCTCCTCCAGGAAGCCACGTCAGACTTCCCTGGGCAGAATATTTCCTTAATGGTTCTATAAAAATGCATGCCCTGCCACGGTGGTGTCTCTGTTTATATGCCTGTCTCTCCCTTTAGCTCAGTACTAAAAGCAAGGGCTGAGTTACAGCTTTACATCCCTAACACCTCGCTCACTGACTGACCCAAATAGTAACTCACCGAATGTTGTTGAAACAAGGAAGGAATTACTCAGCAAAGCCGTAATCCTTTTCTTTTCTTTCTTTCTTTTTTTTTTTTTAAACAAATGTGATATTTATAGTGCTGGATTTACGGCTTTTAGATCCTTTCAGTGTATGACATGCAGCCCAATTCAGACCTTTTCTAAAATACTTTGGCCAATTTGGAGTTGTAAAGAACAAGAGGAATGTGGAAAAGTGGCAAAGAGGTGAACAGAGACTGTTAAAAGAATTAAAAAACAGACACTGAAATTTGGCAGCAACTTGGACAGAGCTGGAGGTCAGTATTCTAAGTGAAGCAACTCAGAAATAGAAAACCAAATGCCATGTGTTTTCCATTACAAGTGGGAGCTAAACTATGAGGACACAAAGGCATTAAGAATAAAATAATGGGCCGGGCGTGGTGGCTCACGCCTGTAATCCCAGCCCTTTGGGAGGCTGAGGCTGGCAGATCATGAGGTCAAGAGATTAAGACCTGGACAACATGGTGAAACCTCGTCCCTACTAAAAATACAAAAATTAGCTGGGCCTGGTGGCACGTGCCTGTAGTCCCAGCTATTCGGGAGGCTGAGGCAGGATAATTGCTTGAACTTGTGAGGCAGAGGTTGCAGTGAGCCAAGATTGCACCACCTCACTCCAGCCTGGCAACAGAGCACAACAATGTCTCAAAAAAAAAAAAAAAAAAGAAGAATGGACTTTGGGACTGGTGGGGGGAAGAGTGGGAGACGCGTGAGACACAGAGTACTATATATTGCGTATAGTTTACACCGAGTAACAGGTACACAAAATCTCAGCCATCACCCCTAAAGAACTTATGCATGTAACCAAACACCAGCTGTTCCCCCCAAATGATTGAAATTAAAAAGAAAAAAAGAAAAGCCCAGACACTGGAGAAATCACTTGGAGACTGTATCTGGAGATGAGAGGGTGGGTGTGGGGGAACCTCATGGCTCGACATACGCCACATGTACATTGGGAGGGACATTCCCCCATGTCAGGGCCTTGGTCGGGACCTAAGTGTGCAAGACACATAGCATAGCACACGGTGTGCTTCTGGCTTGAGAGGTGCTGCCCTCCTTTTCTGGGTCCCAGTCTCACCTGTGCCATGGGAGCAGGTGGGCTCTGCAGAATGGTCTGAGGCAGGAGCTGCTGTGCGAGGTCGCAGGACGATGGGGAAGGCAGGGGAGCCTGTGGGAGAGAAAGGGGCTTTGCTACCACTGCTTCTGCCATTCCAGAGGGCAGGGATGCGGTCTCTTGGTCCGGTGGGTTCTCTGCCTTCCACACTGGGGTGGACAGCTGAAAGTCAACACTTCTAGAAAGTATAGGTGTCTGATTCCTGGCTGCACTGCTTCCCATGCAGGGCACGTGGGCAGAGCCCCCGCACGGCTGGCATAGGCTTCCGCCCCACCACAGTGTGCTCTGCCAAGCCCTGCTACCTGCCCAAGCCTGGCAGCGCAGCTCCGCTTCCCGTCCCTTGCCTACTGTCCTGGACTCTGCCTTGGGTGGATTTGGTTGCTCTTCTCCCATATGGATTAATTCTTAGCGGTGTCATCAAGCAGGACAATGTGGGTGGACTGCTACCATGAGCTGGCTTGTGTGCCTGTGTCTTTTCTGCTCAGTGCTAATGCAGATGGACAGACATGCCATGCGTATTTGTCCATGAACTCATCCAGGCAATAAGGACTGGGGCAATTTCAGCAGCCTCTGCCCAGAACCTTTCAAGAGACTCCTGGAAAGTCAGCTGAGTCACATCTGTGTTCCCTGATCACTCGGGTGGGTGGTGAGACAATATACAGGAACAAGAAATGAAATACTCTGCTTCAAGGGCTAGTGGTTTTTTGTTGTTGTTGTTAAGAACAGTGAAAGGACTTGTCTGAAGTTATTCCAACACGGCAGCCCCTAGTTGCTAGGGCCTATACAAAAAAGCAGCTCAAATGGAAGTGTCACCCAGGACAGCACTGGGAGGAAATGACACCAGGAGACCTTGTTTCAGTGAGAAGTCCCAGGCACAGGGCTGAACCAGAAGCTATTCTGGGCTCTGTTTCCCTGCACAGCTGGGAGGAGACGGAAGCAGTCTGGGGCTCTGTCGTTGGCAGAATGAGTCACACTGGACAGGCGAGAGTCTGGAAGAATGGCAGGCACAGCTTGCAAGCGCATCTGGAGGGGGCTGGAGAGAAAGTAAGTGGTCTTTGTCATGTTCTACTTGCAAATAAAACGTGTCACCCAAGCTTCTCAAGCAGGGTATGCATAGCCTTTATGGAGACAGCAAGTAGGAAGGTGGCACGTTCACTCAATCTCCAAAGTGACAGTGAAGTGTGGGTGGGAGGGTGTGGGGTGGCCCCTAAAATTCCTAAGCACTTCTCCCATCTAGAAGTGGAGGTCTATATCCCTCTCAGTGGGTGAGTTCAGGACTGCTTTGACCAAGAGGTATGGCAGTGGTGACACTATGTGACTTCCATGGCTAGGTTACAGAAGGCTGCACAGCTCCTGCCCAGCTCTCCAGATGTCTCCTCTTGGCATCTGGAATCCCACCACCACACCAGGAAAAGCCAAAGGCTTGAGATGCCTGTGCAAATCAGTGATGGATAGCCTCTGCTGATCCCAGCCCTGGTGCCGGACATCCAAGTGCAGACATGATGTGGGGTGTGAGTTCTCTAGCCTAAGTCACAAGACCCTGACACCAAGGGGCAGGTGAGTGCCATCCCCATGATGCCCTTTCTGAATTCCTGACCCAGACTCCATGAACTTGGTTGCTTTAGGCCACTAAGGTAGGTGTAGTTTGCTACCTGGCAACAGATGACCAGAGTGGTGCATCACTGACTTTATACATAGCCAATGTGCTTCCTCAGGGCCACGCATCCGATGTTCTGGAAGGATACGGCATACACTGGGGACACTATCTGGTATGCGCAGAGGTACATTTTGGTTCACACTGAGCTGCTCAAACATTTTCACCGGCATGAAAGGAGATTCAAAACAGAAGAATCGTAATTGTGTAGCCCCAGAGGCTCTGGGGGTATGATGATGTGACCCCAGGTTTGCAGTTTTGCCTTTTATCCTTAAAATTCACTCGGATTTTGTATTCTATGGATATGCATCCATGTTAATTTTGTCATGCAAATGTTTAAAATTAGTTGCCAATTAAATTACTTAACTTCCCACCCCCATCTGCCACCCTACACTCAATCCCTAAGTGAAACGGATTCTCTGGGAGAGGCAGCACACTGCCTGTGGCTCTGCAGCCCCCACCACATTGCAGCGTACTCCTGTGGAGGAGTTTGGGGTCACACACTTACTGGCATGGTGGCTGCCTGGCTGAGCCCAGGGACAGGTAACTCTTGGGGCAAGGTGGCCGGTCTTGGCAATGCCGGGGTGCTGGCCTCTGCCATCAGTTTGGTTGGAGTGGCTGTAACAAAGCAACGAATGACCTTCCTGACTTACATGTACTTAGCATGTACTCATCCGATGACCGTGACCGTGGCGTGCCCAACACAAGAGCTTAGCTGGGACCTCTGATAAGGGAAGTCCACCACGCAGGGCTGAGCTGACCACAGAAGCCCAGCCTGGGAACAGGCAGGAGACACCACAAACACTCCCTAAACTTCACTTCTGCTGCTTGGTCCAATGAGCTGCCTGATCAGATGCCTCCCCAGAATTACTAAAAGCAGCCAAGGGATCAGATCTGTGTGCCACCCACTCAGTGTTTTTGCTTGGCTCTGAACGGATACCAGAGTGTGGAGAGGTGATCAGAAGGGAGGAATTCCAGGAAAGGAGAGGAGAAATATAAATTGCACGGTAACCTCTGTTGGAGGCACAGACTGCTCTGATTCCACTCGGGCGTGGGACCCTCTGTGGAGCTGTCCCTCTGGTTTGATGGAGTCCCTCATCCCACTCCCCATCCATGGAGTCGCACTCACAGGTGGGTTCTGACATGGCTGTATGCGAGGATTTGTGGGAACTTCTTGAGGATGCCGATGGCGAATGACTGGTGTTAAGGCCCGAGGCGCCCACATCGAGTGCACTAAAGTGCTGCCGAGGTTCCAGGCTGGAGCCCTTGTCCTGAAACACACACGTCCAACAGTCCTCATGTCAGCATCAGGAGGAAAGAATCAGTGGGTTTGACTTTAGTTCTAGATATGTCGACAACCTCAGAAGCTGCTGAGACAAATACCACAGCTGTTTGGGAACGATTCCAAAGACACTTGGGTAGAGTATATACACAGGTGTAAACCTAGAGGCCCAGAGAGGCTTGCAGCCAAGAAGCAGTGTTTACTGCTCATTCTTGCCTTTTGTTTTTATTGTTTATGTTTCATAACTGACTTTGCATTTTATTTTTTCCTCAACAGTTGTCACCACCCAGCATCTTGGCTTTCCAAGAAGAGGGAAAGAGGTTCTAGAAATAAGGTTGCCGCTGGCAGTGGATTCTAAACTCATCCAGTGGGACAGGTGCCTTTGGACCTTCCTGGGCCCTTCCCATGCTGCCTCCTGTTACTCATCCTCTGTAGCCTCCATGTCCACTGGAGTGGAGAACTGGTGAGGGCCGGGGTCGCCTGTCTTTTGACCTCTTGCTCCTGACTGACCCTGGTTCCCAGAAAGTCTCTGCCTCAAATGCAGTGTGACAAGGAAGCAGCTGTGATGTCCGACCCCGAGGGACCGTTTTTCCATCCTCTGTGGCTTAGCTGTTATAGGCACATGAAAACAGGTTGGGGCCGGGCGTGGTGGCTCATGCCTGTAATCCCAGCTCTTTGGGAGGCCAAGGCAGGCAGATCATTTGAGGTCAGAAGTTCAAGACCATCCTGGCCAACATGGTGAAACCCTGTCTCTACTGAAAATACAAAAATTAGCTGGATGTGATGGCACATGCCTGTAGTCCCAACTACTTGGGAGGCTGAGGTAGGAGAATGGCTTAAATCCAGGAGGTGGAGGTTGCAGTGAGCTGAGATCAGGCCACTGCACTCCAGCCTGGGCAACATAGTGAGACTCCCATCTAAAATAATAATAATAAAAAACAAAACAGGTTGGGATAATTTTTAAGCTAAAGAAGAAAACCAAACAGTGATTACCCTCCTGAGCTGCATTCCTACCTAGTCTTAGAAGAATGGAAGCTGCCAGCATCTCTGGGCTATGTCAATGGGCTGGTCTGTGTACCATGGCGTGGGGTATGAAATCTCGTGCATGTGTCTGTGTGGCAGTTTTGTCTTTTGTGTCATGACTGCAGTGGGGTGGACACTGTGCGTACAGAAGGGCTGAAGTGATTGACGTGTGACCTAGAGGCCTTTCTGCAAAACAGAAAAACCACATGTGGCTGGATGTGCTAAGGTAAATGGCAATTAGGGACCTCGCTGCTTTAGGGAGCCTGGTCTCCCTTTGACCAGGCTCCTTAGAGTGGGGTCCCTGGACCATGGCTGTTTGTGAATCATGTGTTCCTAGTCAGCAGAGAAGTTAGTCCAGGAAGTGAGAATAAGCACGGAGGAACTTCGGTGCCCATTTGACATCTCTGCGCATCAATCCATGCATGGGAATCTGCGTTTTACAAATGCACTGGATAGTGACAGACAGCGAAGCTTAAAAAACCAAACTGGTTCAACACCACACATAGTTTGGGAGCTTTTACTTTAAAGGGATTTCTTAACCCAGTGCCTAAGATTGTGTTTATACATATGTGCATTTTTGTGAGAAGATGTTCTTCCACAGGGCTCCAGTACTCCCCAAGGATCAGAAACCTCAGTGATAAATTTCCGACTAGATGATATGTACTATGCCGTGCGTGTTCTTCAGCTGTGATGTATGGTGTGTCTAACACCTGCCTATTAGCAGCTGGATTCCCTTCTACAATGTGATATATAATGTATGGTGTGACAGAGCTGGGTAATAAACACTTCCATAGACAATGTCAGCTGCGTACTATCTGTGCGCTGGTGATGAATCACCACAGAACACACCACCACACAGCACAGCTGCCGGGGGAGCTGTGGCAGGGCAACTCTGCCAGGGCACCCACTGCTCTCTGATCTTGAAAGGTAGTTTCTCCTTCCTCCCAACTTGGCCCTTCAGGAAAGAGAGAGATGCTTCTGTTGGGCCACAGACAGTTTGAAAGGCTGGACCATTGCTGTGGCACCAGCCTCTGGCCCTGGGCTCGGATTTGGGGTCACTGGCAACCCTGGAAGTTGAGCTTCACCAATTCTACGATGTACTCCCGACTCCAGCACTCAGATTTGAATACTTCTGAAATTAAAATGTGCCCTTCCTTCCATTGATGAAAAGAACTCTTGTTTCACAGACTGGTTGGCAGCATTTTCTTCCTAGTCAACCTTTGCTGTATCTGCCTGGCCGGGATGGACATACCTTTAGTGCTGAGGAGTGGAGGGCCTCGGATGACGGGTCTTCCAGAGCCAGCTCCTGCCTCCTTTCCACCCGGACATCTGCGTAACTGTGCAGGAAATTAAGAGACCACAGTGGAAGCGGGGTGTCCCAGCACAGGATGACACCACCCAAACAGACTACAAGGTGCATCAAGGTTCTCTATGTAACACCCGCCCCCACAACAGTCAACAGAGAGAAGCCTAGTCTGTTACTCTTGGAAGGAATGAGTGTCATTCTCTGCCTTAAATTCCACCCGAGTGACTTATAATATTACGTTCGAAATCATTTTATTTCTAGGATGTCTTTATTCCCCTCTCATTTACTATTCTTTTTACTTCCCTGAAATCTTCAATTGTAATTGTCTTTAAAAAACACATTTTTGTCTATGGGATAAGCTTCTGCCTTTAAATAATTAGAAGCCTTTCTTAAAACCTGTTCAGTCTGGACGGTGCATATGGAAGAGTGACAGAAAACTTTTTTAGTAGTTACATTCCTCAGAAAGTTTCCTCTCAAAGAAACCTAGAACTGGCTAAATCCAGACCGCAGATGTGCCCACAGGCCCACTTGTCAATAGTGTGGGTAAATCGACTCAGCACAGTGATGCCCAGGTGACCCTGTGATGCCTCTGCCCTGGGTGTGGAGACCCTGGGGCAAGAGACCTTGGGAAGCAACATGGCTCCTGAGCCTCCGGAATGCCTGCCACCTGATTCATTTACTTGGTTCCCTCCCTGCTTTCTCTGAGCGTTTCTTCCAAGGATTTGAGAGGTAGAGGATGGAGAAGAGTGGGTAGAGGGCACAGCCTGAAGAGTGAAGGGTCAGTGCTGCCCAGCCTTCCCTGGGGTAAGGGGGCCCTCGGGCAGAGGACCAGGCTGGGTGGCAACAGGGGGCTGGTGACTCGTCAGAGACCATCACTGCTGCATGCCCAGGGGTGGGCTGGGAATCAAAGAGCGAATGCCTGAGTGAGGGCATGAGGTGTGATAAAGTGGCATCAGGGTCACTGGCTGCTGAAAACTAGTGTTTCTCCCTTCTTCTGCATGTTAAGGAAGAATGCTTGACTTGGTGACCTGATGTATGTATGGGGTGTGTGTGTGTGTGTGTGTGTGTGTGTGTGTGTGTGTGTAGTGTCTGTCTGCATCTGTCTGTTACACGTATATAGTCATGTGCTTATAGGATGTATTGGTGCTTCCCTAAGATTAGAACACTGTATTTTTTAAAATTATGCTTTAAGTTCTGAGGTACATGTCCAGAATGTGCAGGATTGTTACATAGGTATACACATGCCATGGTGGTTTGCTGCATCCATCCCCCGTCACCTACATTAGGTATTTCTCCTAATGTTATCCCTCCCCAATCCCCCCACCCCCCAACAGGCCCCTGTGTGTGATGTCCCCTCCCTAAGAACACTGTATTTTTATTGTACCTTTTCTGTGTTCAGATACGTTTAGAGGCACGGATACTTGCACCTGTGCCATGACTGTCTGCAGTGTTCAGCACAGCAGCAGCTGTTCAGGTGTGCAGCCTAGGAACAGAGCACTCTGTGGTGCAGCCAAGGTATATGGTAGGCCTCACCATCTAGGTGTGTGTGAGTACAGTCTACAATGCTTGCATGATGACAAAATCACCTAACAACACATTTCTCAGAACAGATATCCATTAGTAAGCAGCAAGGGACTGTATATAAGAAACGCGTATGAAATTTAGTTTTTTTTAAATTCTATGGAACCCTATGCAGCCATAGAAAAGACTGAGTTCATGTCCTTTGCAGGGATGTGGATGAAGCTGGAAGCCATCATCCTCAGCAAACTAACACAGGTACAGAAAACCAAACACCACATGTTCTCAGTCATGGGTGACAATTGAACAATGAGAACACATGGACAGAGGGAGGGGCAAGTCACACACCAGGGCCTGTCGGGGTGGGGGCAAGGGGAGGGAGAGCATTGGGAGAAATACTTAATGCATGTGGGGCTTAAAACCCAGATGACGGGTTGATAGGTACAGCAAACCATCATGGCACAGGTAAACCTATGTAACAAACCTGCTTGTTCTGCACATGTATCCCAGAACTTAAATAAAAGAAAATAAAAAGAAAGAAATGCTGGCCTTCCAACCTTTCTTTCTTTGCCCTTCTCCAAGGTTCTTCTGTAGGCCAGCATAAAACTAATTTCCATTCTTAAAATTTCTGTAGTAGGGGAGAGGACCATTTTCTCCTTCATCCTTGGGAGCAGTGACCCCACAAATGTGGCATCTGAAACCCTGGACATGCGGCATCTCTTTGAAGTCCTGCTCACCGCCCTGGGTGGACAGCTCCCTGAGGCCAACAGGGACCTACCGGGAACCTGCGCCCACTGGCAGCGAGGCTGTTTTCCCGACACGGCCTCAGTTGCCAGCAGGGGTTTTTAAAGCATTAAAAATAAAGGGGAATATGTGTTTGAGTTATTTAGAGGCAAAATTTAAATTTTCTGCTCAAAGCAGCGACAAGGGAAGGATGTGGGTTGGATGGAGATGGGAAAATATGTAAGTAGGTCAGTGAAGCAGTCACTTACTAAGTAATATCCTGGCAGCCTGCGAGAGTCCATGAGGCGTTCAAAGGGGCCTGACTGAGAGCTTGAAAGAAGTCTCAGCCCTGGGAGGGCAGAGCCAGTGGGGCCTGGAAGCGAGCTGAACTCTGGGAATTGTGCTGTTATCAGCAGGGGATGGCCTGGGCTTGATCCTCAAAATGAGGAACACCTAAGTGACTGCTGATCTGACTCGGCCATCAGGGGCCACCCCATACCCCTCCAAGGTGAAACAAGGACGGAGTCACGCCGCTCCCCATGCATGGTACCTGACCACTGAGTGTGTGCACACGATGAACTCGGGCTTGGAGTTCCACTGATGGTAGGTGATGTAGTAGTGAGTCTGCAGCCAAATCCACTGCTGACCTTTGGTCAGAAACCGGTAGCAACACGACTTCCCTTTGCCAAACTGCATCACTGTGAGCAGAAAATAGATGCTGCATATAACAAATGCTAATATGAACATGATCTTTTCCCCAACAGTTACTGTTCAGCTTTCAAAAAGACAATACCAAACCTGGCTTATTTCCCCGGTTGCCCTGTATTTTAAGTGACTATCAGCATAACGGTACACTGTCATGAATTCTTAAACAGTAGAAGAATGATCCATATACTTTCCCAAATGCTCAGAAGCTTAAAGCAATCCTGAAATAAGGGCAGATGCAGACAGATTTTCAAACTGCAGGTTGAATCAAAAAGAGACCTGGGTTTGCCTGGTGCCCATCTTCCCGCTGCAGATGGAGCTGTCTTTGGAGCTGCAGGAGCTCAGGAGCGGGCATCCAGAATTGGCCCGAAAACAGACCTGCCAGCCAGCAACCTCTGGATGGATTCTGTGACTGTCAGTCAGCAATTCATGCTCAGTTTACACGGTTCTTAAATAAAGAGTCAGGGACAGATGCCTCCACCCCAGGCTTCCTCCTTCCCCACAGCCACTTGGAGTCCCCCCGACAGTGATGTCTGCTGGTGGCTTCTCTAGGGATGTCCAGAGCAGAATGGATGCTGATGGTGTATCAGCCTGAGCAGGGCAGAAAGATGGACGATGGATCCAAGGAAGAACAATGAGGGTTTTATTGCCATAGTGCCTGGAATTTACCACCTCCTTAGATAAACGGCTAAGAGAAATCTCAACCAGGAAACTGATGCTACGAAAGGACACTGACCTGGAGAATGTGATTATCTGAAGAGGAAAAAAACCCAGCAGATTGAGGGTGTGGGCTCTGCAGAGCAAGGACATCTTGCCCAAGCCATGGAGAAGCCTTTCAAATGCTGAATGTAATTCTTCACTTGGGGATCTTGTAAATATAGATACCCTGATTGAGTAGGCCTGATTCTACAAGTGTAGCAAACTTCTGTGATGCCTACCCATCTGGTCCTAGACCATGCTTTGAGGGGCAATTAAAGTTTTAATGATTAGCTTTAAATTCTAACAGCCGATCCAGATGGAACTCAAGCCTATTCTTCCTTCCCTCTCCATAGAAGAGAAAGTTCTGGCCGGGCACGGTGGCTCATGCCTGTAATGCAAGCATTTTGGGAGGCCGAGGAGGGCAGATCACTTGAGGTCAGGAGTTTGAGAACAGCCTGGCCAACATGGTGAAACCCTATCTCTACCAAAAATATACAAATTAGCTGGGCATGGTGGCACACGCCTGTAATCCCAGCTACTCGGGAGGCTGAGGTGGGATAATCACTTGAACCCGGGAGGCGAAGGTTGCAGTGAGCCAAAATTGTGCCACTACACTCCAGCCTGGGTGACGGAGAGAGAAACTGTCTCAAAAACAAAAAACTAAAAAAACAAAAAAACAAAAAACCAGTTCTAATGGGTACTAAAGGTGAGGCATCTTTTAAAGCACAATGTTAGTGGTCAATTCATACATCAGATCAATAGGTCAGTGTTCCTGTTCAAAGTTAGGAGTTGGCACTGAAAATACAGCATCAAGTTGGTTAGTTCCTGAAGCCACTTGCTAAGTGAGAACTTGGACAAGCTTGTAATTCTTACTCCCCACATTGTAAGTCCTATCCCCCATATATCTGCTAACGTGCTTCCCTCTTCTGCGGCAAAGAGCCTTCCCTGACCCCCACTAGTGGAGGGGGTCCTCTGGAGCCCCCCAGTATGCTGTGTACATCCCCTTCAATGCACCGACAACATTCTACAAAATCACCCATTTCTGGCTTTCCCAGCAGACCTGCCCTGCAGGATGGCAAGCAGGTACTGATCATCCCCATATGCCAGCCTACTCAGTATCTGGCCTATGGCTAGTGACCAATACATATCTGCTGATGAAAAAACAGTTACGAGAATTCGGTATTTTATCTTTGAAATGTGTTGCATAACTTAAAAAAAAATCCCTGCATCACCTTAGTTTCTTAATTAGGTTTAAACAGGGCGCCTATTTGGATGGTAGTGGGAAGGTGCTGGGGTTTGGGGCCAAGTTAACTTTGAAAACCTGACATGGGGATAAATGCCGATGAGGGCCTCCACCATGCCCCCAGATCATCTCAGAGAACACCAAGTTCCCCACCTTAAAAAGAAACCAGGTAACGAGCAGAGACTTCTGGAGTCCCAGAGCCCTGCTGTCCGGGCCCCTATGGAGTGAACGCAAGGCCTCCACACCTGGGCTGGGCAGTGGTACTCACGGTGCTGGTGGCACCTGGCCAGGAGCTCCAGGTCATCGATGTGGTAGTAGTCATAGCCTGAGGTTCCCAGCACTTCAAAAGGCAGGTATCCTATGATTGGAGGTGCTCTGCACAAGGACAAGGGGGACTTGTTGTCAGGGAGGAGACGCACTGCAGGGCTCACCCTGGTGGCCATGCCTTCCCATGAGCAGGGCTGCATGTTTCATGATCAACATGGAGGCCTCGTTTCTCAAGAACAAGGGGAGAAAAATAACTTTGCAATGATCAAAACCAGAGAGGCTGTGTTTTCCAAAGGGCTCAACTTTTTTTTGGCGGTAGATACTCCTTTCCCTTGGCATAACTTGGCCAGAATAACAATAAGCTTTATCACTACTGGGTAATTAAAAACAGCTACAGATTGGGTCAGCCTAACACCAAAGCATAATACAAAATGAAAGGGTGGGGAGGGGAGATTTGGAGTTCTTCACCTGCAAATAATGTTACAAAGGAAAAAATAAAGATTGGGCTAAAGGATCAAAGGATGTTGAAAAAATGAGATGAGAGATTTCTCTCATATTTGCTGCTGCCTTACTGGGAGCTGGGAAGGGTCCCAAGTAAGGATCATCCCAAAGATGCCCCGGGGCTGAGGCATCTGACCCAAACACAGAACATATTCACAATGCAGCAGATGTAGTTGGAGAGAAGCCACCCACCCTTGGCAGGGACGAGACAGTCCCTCTCCTTCAGTGGACCAGGGCCGACTCACCTCTCCCAAGGAGAGCCTGGCTCATGCAAACAAGACTTGAGAAGGGCCCAACCCAAATATGTTTTTCTTTTCACAAACCTGTGATCCAGAAATAAAAATTTCCATTCCAAGCTATGCCTTGAAGTGAATTCCTCTAAAGGTTCATCAACTATGCACATTTCCTGTATTGGAAGCAGAAAAAAATAAGTTGCTTGGGTGCCAGATGCTCACCCTAGGTTTGTTCAAGAGGAACGCATGGTGGGTAACAGAAGTTAAAATCATTTTGAGCAAGTCTCCAAGTCGTGTTGGACTGAAACTCATCATCTGTAGCTAATTTCGGTATTAGCTGATACTAAATTTATTTCACAAGCTGGGGAAAAATACCTAGGAGCCAAAATGTCACACCATTACCGAGAAGTGTGGTAAACATGTGGAAAATGGCTTTTCATCTGAATCTGAATTACTCATTTAACTCAACATTCATGCTGTAGACGTTGAAGCAATCACAGATGAGAGAAGGTAGACAAACCCCCAACGCTCCGACACTAGGTTCTCACCCAGCCCTGCCCTGAATGGTATTAACGCCAGTGTGAAAGGTAGGAAGATTCACAGTTACTGATCAGCACCTCTGCAGGCTGAACAGCAAGGGATGCTGTCTTCAAACAAAACAACTTGCAGAAACGGGGCAGGGGAAAGGGCGTGTTTGCAGGCACAGAAGCCAGACACTTCAATTATCAAAGCCAGTGACAACTTCACTGAAATTTATTCCCTCCCAAAAGACCATTAACTACATGTAACAAAATGTGACTCAATCATAACAGCGCTGCACAGGTGCCTCTCAGGTACTTGCCTTTAAGAATTGTGGTGTTGCCAGACGAACAGTGGCAATGAAGCAAACTTCCTTTCCTAGTGGCACCCGGCAAGGTCTTGAAAGGGTGTTGTCAAAACCGTTACAGGAGGGGCTAGGCACTGGGGGGTTGGAAAGAAGAGGACATATAGGTTAGCCCTGTCACCCCTGTCCGGTGACAGCAGCCAGCCCCTAGCTGGCTTAGCACTAAGCCAAGCTCTGCCCCCAGGGTTTATGTACAGTATATTAACTGATTTCATTCTTATAACAACTGGATGAGGTAGGTCATACTATTATTCCCGTTGCACAATAAGGCACAGGGGGACGTAACTTGTGTAAGACCAAAAAGCTTGCTAGAGCTGGGATTTGAGTCCATGCTGGTCACCAGTATTCAGCACTGCCTCTCACTTCCACTAGCCCTACGGCTTATTATGATGGGAAAAGTCTACAAAATGGGAAGACAGGCCGGGCACAGTGGCTCACGCCTGTAATCTCAGCACTTTGGGAGGCCAAGGCAGGCAGATCACTTGATGCCATAAGTCCCAGACCAGCCTGGCCAACATGGCGAAATCTGTCTCTACTAAAAAAAAAAAAAGAAAAAAAATTACAAAAATTAGCTGGGCATGGTGGCGCATGCCTGTAATCCCAACCACTTGGGAGGCTGGGGCATGACAATTGCTTGAACCCGGGACATGGAGTGAGCTAAGATCACACTACTGCACTCCAGACTCTGTTTCCAAAAAAAAAAGACAGCCTCATTCTGTAGTAACAGTTCAAATACTCACTTCAGCCAGTGTTTTAAGGTGAATTCCATAATCAGACAGTGTTCCTCACACTGATAGTCCCAGGGAAAGTAGGGATGTCTCAGCATCATTGACACCCCTTTCCCCACCCCTGTCTTGGCTGGCACACCTGGGGTTCAAGGGCCTCTGTCCTCAAACTCCCCCTTGGGAGCCCAGGCTGATGCAGGGGCTGGGCCTGGGTCACTAAGGAGATGGGCTCAGGATTTAGGGTCATCCTTAGAGGAACATGCCTACAACAAAACTCGCCAGTTCCCTAGCATGGCC